CCGCGCCTGATGCCGCCCTGACATGGGGAACACGGTGAGGGAGGGGCGGCCCAGCCTCGAGACGTGGAGCGTGGGTCAGATCCGCCTGCCGAGCCTTTGGCTCCTCCTCCCTCTTCCTGCTTCGCCTCCTCTGTTTATTCCTCCCTCATTCACCAGCCCCTCCTGCCTCTCCTTCTTCTCCTCCATCAGGTCCTGATCCTACTCATTACCCCTCCTTCTCCCATCCCCATCCTTCTCATCCTCAGTCTCCCCTTCATCCTCCTCGTCAGTCCGGCATTCCTGTTCCTCCTCGCCCCTCCTCCTCTCTCCCCCTCCACATCCTCCAGAAGACCCTCCCTCATCCTTCTTCCTTACGAGTGCTCCGCCGCCCTGCCGCATCACCAGACGTGTCAGTAGACTGGGCAGGGCGTTTCGCTTGATACCCCTCACAATGTACAGTCCTGACGCTCACAACATCCAACAGCTACACAGGTGGTTCATGCCAGTGGTCTTCAGAGGTGGTTCGTGCCTGCGCGCTGCGCTCGTTCGTTTCAAGAGCCTCCGGCTGCTTCACGGAGGGAGGGCGAGTCGTTTTCAAAATGTGACCCTCGCCCGCCGCGCACATTTTTTTTTTTCTAAGTTTCCAAAGCCCACTTACTCGGATAGAGGGCCAGTCGTTTTCGACATGTGGTTCTCGCCTTGGCGCCGCGCACACTCTTAGTAAAGCCACCACAGCCGATTTACTCGGATGGAGGGAGGGCCAGTCGTTTTCAGAATGTGGCTCTCGCCTTAGCGCCGCGTGCATTCTTGTTTGAAGCTCCCGATGCATATTTACTCTAATGGAGGTCCAGTCGTGTTGTAAATGTGGCTCTCGCCTTAGCGCGGCGCACATTTGTTTTAAACACATCCAAACTCGTCGGATGGAGGGAAGGCCAGTCGTGTTGTAAATGCAACTCTCGCCTTAGCGCCGCGCGCATTCGTCTTCGGTTCCCACGCGGATGCAGGCTGGCATGTTTTCAGAATGGGGTCCCCGCTGGAGCTCGCTCGGCAAAAATTACCAGAACTCTTCAGTTGTGGAGCCGGTGCACGGCTGGAGGAGGGCTCTCAGTTTCAAAAGAGTGTTTTGTGCTTGAAACTTCGTGGGATTTGATTACTAGAAGGCAATGCAAAGTGTGGACCACCTGCACGGATGCAGGGTGGTTCCTTTTCAAATCGGGGCTGTCGTCCGGAGGCCAGGCAGGGGCCAAAAACGCCGAGAACATTGATCTGCGATCTTCGATCCTCCTCCCTCCTTCATCATGATTCATTGCTCTGTTCCTGCTGCTGCTGCTGCTGCTGATCGCCCCCTCGTCGCCCTGGTTCCCCTCTTCCTCCTCTATCATCTTTCATTTTCCTGAGCTGCTGCTCCATCCCTTCCTCATCGTCGCATAATACACGTCGTCGTCATCGCAGCCGTCCTCCTCCTCCCCGTCCTCATCATACTCCTCCTGCCATCTGGGCATCTTATGACATCCATCCTTCGGGAGATTAAGTCGCCGGAGGATGGCCTCTCGCGCGCTCCATAACGCGATGCAGTCCCACTCCACTTGATCGGCCAGCCCGCCCGACCCGCTGGTTAGGGCCCGCCCGCAGCATTCGCGGTGGGGTCTCGCGCGTGCCCGGCACGACGCGGCCTCGCACTTTGATGTCCCGCCCGCCCGTTCCCGCTCCCCGCTCCGCCCGACCCCCCCGCGAGGGTCCGCCCGCCCAGCTGGACGGCCCTCCCGCTGCCAGGGCCCGCTCGCCCGACCCGCACGGCGACCGCCCGCCCAGCTGGACGGCCCTCCCGCTGCCAGGGCCCGCTCGCCCGACCCGCACGGCGACGAGGAGGAGGAGGAGAAGGAGCAGGAGGAGGAGGAGGAGGAGGAGGAGGAGGAGGAGGAGGAGGCGGAGGAGGAGGAGGAGGAGGGGGGGGGAAGAGGAGGAGGAGGAGGAGGAGGAGGAGGAGGAGGAGGAGGAGGGAGGAGGGGCGGAGGAGCAGGAGGAGGAGGCGGAGGAGGGGGGGGGGAGCAGGAGAAGAAGGAGGAGGAGGAGGAGGAGGAGGAGGGGGGAGGGGGGAGGGGGGAGGACCAGAGTAAGCCAAGGATGCGTAAACGGTGCTGCAATGCACCCTCCCGTCCCAAGTCCCCTCCTCACACGCCCCTGCAAGTCCTCCTTTTCACTGCAAGACGTGCCCCAACGCCCCCCCCCTTGAAAGAGCAGCACAGTTGGACCTGCCATTTTGGCGAGGGCTCTGTCTTGAAGAGGATTGCATTGCATCCTACCGCCGCGTAGTCAGGAGCGCGCATTATTTGGCATCGCTTGGCATTACATTGTTTTGCTTGGCATAGCATTGCTTTGCATTGCTTGGCGTTGCTTTGCGTTGCTTGGCGTGGCTTGACGTTGCATTTCTTTGCCAAGCGTCGCTTAGCCAAGCTTGGCATGGCTTGGCAGTGTGGCGTGGCTTGGCGTTGCTTGTTTTGCAGTGCTTTGCTTGGCGTTTCTTGGCGCTGGTTTGCACTGCTTGGCGTTGCTTGCCAGTGTTTGTTCGGCATTGCTAAGAAGCAAGACCAAGCAACCCGAGGATTGCAGTAAGGAGACCAGACAAGGCAACCCGAGGAAGGCTTCTCAACTCAGTATGCAAACAATCCCAAGCAACTCGAGAAAAGGCCTTTTCAAAAGCAGTAAGGAAACAAGACCTAGCAACTCGAGGAACGCCTTAAACAGAACGGACACAAGACCTAGCAACCCGAGGAAGGCCTCTGAATTAGGGGTTAACGATTCCGTAGGGCAGTGCTCGGCATTGCTTGGCATTGCTTGGCGTGGCTTGTCGTTACTTGGCATTGCTTAGCGTCGCTTCGCATTGCCTGGGGCTGGCTGCTTAGCGTTGATTTGCATTGCCTGGCATTGCCTGGTGTTGCCTGCGTTGCACTTTTTTGCTTGGCGCTGCTTGGGAATACTGGGCGTTGTTTGGCATTCCTTGGTGTGGCTTGGCATTGCTCTGCGTTGCATGGCATTGCTTGGCGTGGCTTCGCAAAATTTGAACCGCGTTGCATTGCTTGGCGTTGCTTTGTGTTGCTTGGCGCGGCTTGGCGTTAATCGTCGTTGCTTGACGTCGCTTGACGTTGCTTGGCGTTTATGGGTGCTGCTAGAACAAGCAACCCGAGGATCGCGGTAAGGAAACAAGACACAGCAACCCGAGTAAGGCCTTTCCAAAACAAAAAGTAAGCTAGAAGGCGCAAGCCACGCACCCACTAGCTCCTCAAAGACAAGTACCCCTAGGCAGCCCGAACTGGAAAACACTTAGGAAACAAGACCAAGCAACTCAATGAAGATTTGGTGGCGATGCCTTGAACTCACCGGATCACCGAATCAAGTAAGACTCTTGTAGACAAGCTGAATTGGGATTTCACCCTTGCGGCAGAATACCTTACACAGATTTACACAGGGGCCCTTCAGTTCACCTCCTGGCCCTTACAGACCTACAGACGTACTCGAGTTACGAGTTATGAACTTCAGCACTACGCTTTAAGACGTCATCTCGATGTATATTACCACTCGTTACAGGTTGCTTCTACAAGTACATACTGCTATTATTAGTACTACTGCTACTACTACGACTCCTATGGTTACTCCTGCTACTACTACGACTACTACTACTACTACTACTACTACTACTACTGCTACTACTACTACTGCTACTAGTACTACGGGTACGGCAGTCGATTATTATTAGAGGACGGTTTTTGATAAATTATTACCACTACGATTACTGCTACTATTACTACCACGACTACTACTACTACGACTTCCACTACGACTTCCACTACGACGGCGACGACGACGACGACGACGACGACGACGACGACGACGACGACGACGACGACTACTACTACTACTACTACTACTGCTACTACTACTACTACTACTACCATTACAGCGACTACGAACACTACCACTACTACAACTACTGCGACGACTACGACTACTACTCCTACTACTACGAGTAGTAGTAGTAGTAGTAGTAGTAGTAGTAGGAGGAGTAGGAGTAGGAGTAGGAGTAGGAGTAGCAGTAGTCCTACTACTACTGCTACGACTAATGTTATGATTCGTATTACTACTACTACTACTACTGCTAGCACTACTTCTACACTATTACTAGGACGACTACTGCTACTACTACTCTTACTTATATTACGAAAAATACCACCATTATTATTATGAATACGATTGATACTACTACTACCACCACTACTACTACGTCTTTTATGAATAGTACTTCTGTTTCTACTACTACTATTACTACAACTATCACTACGACTCCTACGACTACGACCACTACTTTTTTATTAGTAGTAGTAGTAGTAGTACTACTACTACTACTACTACGACTACGATTACGACTACGATTACTACTACTACTACTACCACCACTACTACTACTACTACTACTACTACTACTACTACTACTACTACTACTACCTCTACTACTACTACTACTACTACTACTACTACTACTACTACTACTACTACGACTACTACTACTACTACTACTACAACTACGAGTATTACTACTAGTACGTCTACTACTAGTACTTCTACTACGACGACGACGACGACGACGACGACGACGACGACGACGACGACGACGACGACGACGACGACGACGACGACTACTACTACTACTACTACCACACCTCTCAGTTCTGCTGGTACGACTGTCACTCATACCTCGACTACTACGGCTACTACTACGTTTGCTGCTACTACTACTTCGAGTGCTACTACTAATTCCCGGCAGCATACGATTATTACTTTTAGTACGACTGCCAGTACTAACGTAATACAGAAAGGCTGGAGGTAGTACGAATACGAGTCGTACGTCTGAGACGATGTTGTTCAATGCGAATAAGACGCAGCATAATGCGAGTTACTATAGTTATACCATGTTAGTCGTATGCGCAAGTGCGTGCGTGCTAATATGGACACTGCGCGACCCCAATTAGAGGGTATTTTCTTCAGCACAAGATTGAGCAGCGAAGGCGATGTTTTGCTCTGCTTGGAATCGATTTGCTCTGTTTGGCATTGGCTTGTATTGCTTGGCAGTGAGGGAGCAACACCAGGCAACTCGAAGTAGGCAGTAAAGAAATAAGGCCAAGCAGCCCGGGGAATGCAGTGAGGAAGCAAGACCAAGCAACCTAGCTCTCCAAATATTATCTTGGCGAAGTGCCCAACCATATACAAATGCGACCAGGGAGGTGGATGTCCTTAAGGGGCGCCGAAACGT